GGGATGGGGCTGGGGGGACCAGGGCTGGGTTTCGGGGGGTTCCTCCACTCAGGCCGCAGTTCCTTGCACAGGGGAGCTCCTGGGGATGACATCGACAACAGAAGGTGTTGTCACAGCAGTGCCGGAACCGGCAGCGCCGTTGGGGGCCAGGTTGAGGCAGTTGGGGGGCCCGAGCCCCTCTTGGGTGCTGAGTGGGAGGTCCCAAGGCCCTGGTGAGGAGCCGACCCCACCATGGGCACGTTGGTGGTGGGTGACGAGTGCTATGACATGGTGGCCACAGTGGGGAAGGGTACCTTTGGGGAGGTGACCCAGGGCTGGAGGAGGAGCACAGGGGAGATGGTGGCCATCAAGATCCTGAAGAACGAAGGTCACCACGGCCAGGTGGTGAAGAACGAGCTGAGGCTGCTGCAGGCCTTGCGGGAGGTGGACACGGAGGAGTCGCACGTCGTCCGTTTCCTTGAGTCCTTCAGTGATGGTGCCTGTACCTACCTGGTCTTTGAGCTGCTGGAGCAAAACCTCTTTGACTTCCAAAAGCAGAACAACTTCTTGCCGTTGCCTGTCCGGCACATCCGGACCATCACAGCTCAGGTGCTGGCAGCATTGGTGAAGCTGAAGGAGCTCTCCATCATCCACGCTGACCTCAAACCGGAGAACATCATGCTGGTGGACCACGCACGCTATCCTTTCCACGTCAAGCTCATCGACTTCGGCTCGGCCAGCATCTTCCCTGAGGTCCGCCATCTCGAGGAACCCTACATCCAATCCCGCTTCTACCGGGCACCGGAGATCTTGTTGGGGTTGCCTTTTTGTGAGAAGGTGGACATCTGGTCTTTGGGTTGCGTGATGGCTGAGCTTCACTTGGGTTGGCCGCTCTACCCCGGCATCAATGAGTACGACCAGGTCCGCTACATCTGCTCCACCTTGGGGCTACCACGGGGTGAGTTGCTCTGTGCTGCCCGGAAGACATGGTCCTTCTTCCGATGGGTGCCACATCCCACCGGTTCCTGGCAGCTCAAACCACCAAGCAAGGAGACGGCGAAGCCAACGGAGAGGAGGAAGTTTATCTTCTCCTCACTGGATCAGTTGGCGGCAGTGAACATCCGCCCGGTGTTTTATCCTGGCCGGGAAGCGCTGGCCGAGCGCTGCGACCTGCACGGGATGGTGGAGCTGGTCAAGAGGATGATCACCTGGGACTCGCATGAGAGGATCACGCCCAGCGCCGCCCTCAAGCATCCCTTCATCTCCTTGCAGCAGGTGAAGTCCAGCTTCGAGGCCACCCGGTACTACCAGCTCTGCCAAGAAGACTTGAGGGCATCCCGTAAGGCTGCCGGCGCCGTTGAGGTCTTCCCCGGCGTGGAGGAAGGTGCCTTCATCCCCAGCATCCAGAAGGCCATCACCCAGATGGATGGGCTCAGCCTGTCTGAGCCGGTTGGGGACACCAGTGACAAGAGCCAGCAGGACGCCTGCCAAGCCCCCATCCCCACCCATTACGGCACCCGGCACCACCAGCACCACCGGCGTCCCAGGGTGGAGCCCAGTGCCAGTAACTTGATCGTGCTGGGGTCCCCTGGCTGCCAGGAGCGGCGCGGCCGTTGCGATGGCAGCGGGGTCTTTGGTGGCACCACGGAGCAGAACCCGGCTGGAAGACCCTACACCTCACCCCACACCGAGGTACGGCCACGGGGTGGGGGGCGCTGGCGTGGGAACCAGGAGCTCCTGGGCACGGGTGCTCTGGGACACCGGGTGCTCGGAGTCCCTTGGGTGCTTTGTGTCCCCCAGGTCCCTGGATGCTGGGGGTCTCTGGCGCCCCGTGTCCCCGGCGCCCCCCATCACGGGTCCCTGGCGCCCCCAGGTCATGGGTGCCCAGGGACCCCACCCATGGGTGCCGTTCACCCCCCCCCCATGCTTCTCCCCAC